GATGCTGATAAACTAATTATTTTTCATGTGTTAGAGTTAGCAACAAAATCGGAAACGGGTATATTTCGATAGTATATGTTCCAAGGAACATTTTGATACCAAAAACTTGCGAGTAACAAATTCTATACATGTAAATTTTGGTCATAACGTTGCGACGCGCGACAATGCAGTTTTGATTATTTATCGGAATTTGTTTAACAATGTGATTTTTTCGATATTTCTTTGCACTATCCTAGAGCAACAAAAAAGCAACAAAATCTGGTGCATTTGTTTTTTTGATATCGCAGCTCTATATCCATTTTTTCATTATGGGGGGGTCCAGCTTTATATTAACCTGGACCTCCCCCATTTTTTTTTATTGCTGCTAAACGGTTGGAGCAACAAAATTCGCTCTAGAGCAACTAATTAGCAACAAAAGAGCACTAAATTTTTGACCTATCGCGAATTTGATTTTCGATGGTGGGGGGTCCAGGTTAATAGGGGTCATCTTTTAACTCAAGGAGTAAAGTTGTCATTGTTCCTTTGATATATCTTTCTCTAACAATAAATGTAAGTTATTATTACTAACATTATAGTAATAACAATACAATAATAATTATAAAAAAAGAACTCCTAATCATAATTATTTTTACTAGGCAATTATAATCACAAATACCAAACACTTTTCTCTCAATACGAATTTGCCGAAAGAAATAGAAAAAAAATCGTTAAGGTTGTGCGAAAGGATCTTAAAAAAAAGAAGATATGTATATACGACACTCCAGGCGTCCTTTTCTTCGATAAGAAGCAAATATTGGCGGTGAAATGGAATTATGTTTGAAAAGGCAATTAAATGAAATTGCGCTGTGAATTGAATGGCTCCGAGAGGGAATGCGATCGCAATTAATAGCGAGGATACTCTGTTAGCGTGCTCGGGAATCCAGACACGCTCGACACGTTGCGCATCGTCGTGTCGTCAATTTACAGTCGCGTATCGCCGTATCTCGAACAATGGTATGAAAACCGCGTCGCATTCCAGAGCGCGCTGGGACGATGCATCGCAAATGGTTAACACTCTTTGCCATTCAAAAACCTCTTTCCGTCCCAATCATATTTTCTTGAGAAAAAATTCTTGCGGGATGTATTGTCAAAAGAAAGCGCGACTCATCAAGCGTATTTAATATATCGTTTATAACGATAGATACGTGATAATATCATTTTAAAGAATACATATATGAATAATTAAAAATATTACATAATGTAATAATGTGTTCAATAAAAATAAAGATGTTTTATAAATATATTTATAATATGTTGTCCGGAAAGTCCGTGCGGATTTTTAAGATAAATTCCAAAATAAAAATTTTTTTAATTAAAAATAATTTTAATCTATAATGTATGCATCATTTTGTACCACAATATTTTTTTATGTTTTAAGTAATTTCATAATTTCTCTTTCGTCGAAGTCCTTTTGAACATCATCTACTGATAAAATCGCAAGATCATCCATATAAAATAGGAATGCAGTTAAAGCAACTTACCATACACAAATATAATATATATCCTATGCTCATGTTCCACGTAACGTACAGTATATTGCGAATAATAATCTCCAATTATTTGTGGCTTAAGTGAAAGAAAATTTATTATACTTCAAAAGATCGCTCTTTACGTTCAGTCATTAGGGTTAAAAACCCCAATTTCGATGCGCCGCGCCGTGAATTCTCTCATTCTTCCAGCGTTCGTCTAGCTTCGGGCAATCTGCAGAATTAATCGAATCGACTTTCAGCGAGACGAGCACGATATTGGGAGAATTAAAAGAAAAGAGTATCCCGTCGGCCAAAGTCCGCTTGCGCGGGAGAAGATAATTGGAAAGGGCGCGAGTACAATTTGCGACGAGCAGAGAATCTATCTCATTCCATCGGTTTTTTCTAATCTTCGTACGTTTCCGCGGTTACTCAGAATTTATATCCCCGCGGTGGCGCAAGCGAGTCACATTAAAAGCTTCGACCGTATATGAATACGTGGAAATTACGCGGCGCTTATTAGATTACCGTCGGCTGTTGTCGTCAACGATGTAGTTGCGTCCTCGGTTGCGTCGTTATCTTTATCTCTCCACTCCTCCCCTTGTTTTCCGTCTCTTTCTCTTCTTCAATGCACCTGTCCGCTGCATCGCCATTCATGCGTACGCACATGTGTGCCAGTGACGACGAAACAAGCTCGCACGATATCCGTGTGGCGAGGAATTTGTTCGGATTCTTAGAGAAAATATTTATCAAAAATATGATGATTCATATGCTTGTTATATAATCTTGATGCGTTCGCTTTAAAATGCTAATGAAAGTTATTAGTGTGATGGAATATAAAATGAGCTAACATATCGTGTTTTGCTTCAACACTTTGTTTCAACACTTTAACTTGATTTTCTCTATAAATGTCACGTTTTTTTTATTTTAGTCGTGAAATTAATATTTTATATTGTGTGTGTATATGCAAAATAGTATTTTGCATAGTAAACTGTGTACACGCGTGGGAGGGAGAGTATTATTATTTTTAAAATAATAGCAATGATAGAATAATGATAATAATAATGATATAACCATAATGATAGGATAATTAATACTATATTAATTTGTTGTATCAATTCAAAGGACTCGCACTAGTTATATCAAAATTAGGTTCTGATAAAATGAATTAGTATTTACATATAATGTATAGTTTATAATGTGTGTATTAACTACTTATTATTGAGTCTTGTGTCGATGACATCTTTTGTTCACCACATTATAAGCTATATTATACGTGAAAACGCATTTCACCGGAACCCAATTTATGATATAATTAGTACAACCTTCACTCTCTAATTATATGGAAAATTGAGTCCCGGTGAAATGAGTTAGTTTTCACTTATAATGCAGTTTATAACATGGTGAACAAATGATGTCATATAGCGATTTCAATTGGATGTACTCAGTGTGCACTGGTGCATATTAAAGTCATACACAGATTAATGTAAAAATGTGTGTTTAATATATGGTAAATGTAGAAACGCGTTAAACCGCGATCTTCATTACATTTTATTGTGTTGTAGGTAAAATATATATTTGATAATTCAAATATTTGCATTTCACTTTTACACTCAGATTAAATCAGTGTATCAACGGCTTTAATATCCACCAGTACGCACTAGTGCATCCTACCGAATTCGCTAATAGATACAAGATTCAATAATGAGTAGTTTTTGAACTATATGCATGATGTATCAAAAGTATACATTTGTGCTCACAGAGCATCTTTGATACATTATAAGTTAAAAAACTATATATTATGGAATCTTGTGTCGATAACATCCTTTGTTTATCACATTATTAAGTTGCATTATATTGCGAAAATAAACTTCTTTCGCCGGGATCCAATTTTCCATACATATAAATAGAACTCCTTTGATTTGAGTGCTAGAAATGTCGATAAGTGATAATATAATAAATAGAGAAAAACCCTTTTTGGATCCAGATTAAGCTAACAAAGACAAACGATCACGAACGAACGAGTGTTACTAAAGCTCTATATTTATATAAGAATAGCGCAAAAGACTGCTATGTTTGCGTAATAATCATATCATATTAAAAAATTGCTAAGCGCTTATATTGGATGATAGATCCATTATCATTAGAATTAGATCAAAAATGGCGATTGAAGTAGCCAATAGGAGGACGCGATTGTCAACATTCGCTCAGATAAAAGCAATGCGTTACTCTTAAGCCGGCGGCACACGATGCTTGTTTTCCTGCTGGATTCCTAGCTGGATCAGAATCTTGCCATCGTATTGGCTACGGTACTGACAGTGTCTGCATCGTAGCCAATACGGTGGCAAGAATTTATTCTAACTAGCAATCCAGCAAGAAAACAAGCATCGTGTGCCGCCGGCTTTAGACCGGCTTTACACACGTTCAAGTAAACTTGTCAATTATACATGCGCAAATCGCGTACAAGTTTATTGGAGCGTGTATGTGACAAAGCTGCACAGTTATTGCAATAAACTTGTACATGTGGTTTGCGCATGCCATACTTGACAAGTTTACTTGAACGTATGTGGCCGACCTAAGGGTGCGTTCCGTTTTATTACAGTGCTTTACAATTTGCTTTATCATTTGTCTTTGTTTAATATTTGATAGACAAGGATGAATTGATGCTTACAGTGTATGAGCGTGAAAACGAAACATATTCTTATAAATATAAAGCTCTAAGCGTAACGAGTTATTCCTTTGTTTTTCCTATACCGAGGCTGCGTTCGGAAACATCACCCGAGTGCCGTGTATCGTTTTATCCTTGTTGTTCACCCAATCTTAAATAAGGATAAGATGATACAGAGGTACCCGGGTGATATTTCCGACGCAGCCCGAAAGGAGATGGAACATACATATATTGAGTAGTTTGTTTGTGTTTTTTGCTTGATTCGGATCCGCCTTTCCGCATATTTGACCAAGAAGATTCCAAAGTTTAAATTTTTGTATATATAAACACAAGTCAAATTCGCGATTGTTTTTCAGGATGCACGTGCACGGGAGCGAGTCCGCGAGGCGGTGCGCGCGAGTAACGCGCCGGTGAACGCGCGAAGAAATGAAATGTGCGAAGAGGAGAGCCATTAGGAATCCGCCATTCTCGGCGAATGTCATTCACCCTGCGTGTGTATCGTAAGAAGAAAAAGAAGAAGAAGAAGCAGCACCGCCACGGAAGAAGATCGAACGAAGTGAGTGAATTTGCCCGCGCCCAAAATTCGTAATTCGTCATCGCTCATTATCGTATCTCCTCATTTCGTTGGAAATCAGCTATCCGTAAACGCGCGTGTTTCATCGGCTAACCCCTCGCCCCGTCCAATTCACCGGCGTCAGAAGAGTGAAAGGCAGTACTTCGCTCTACGCGGCACGTCTCTTGAGACGCATCCCGGTGCGGCGTTATTTTCGCGAGGTCACACTGAGGCACGCGTTCCTGAGTCTTTCTTCGTCCATTAACGCCTCGATGTATAGTGCGCTTTATATTCATGTATTCTACAAAAGATAGTCTTGTCGCCTAATATCTCGCGCGCGAATTTAAATGCAAGTTTAAGTCACGTCGGTATACTCTCACTTTTTGGCCAAGTAATCCCTCGACCAACTGTTCTTTCTTACTCGCTGTAATACGATTCTTCTGATGATAGAGTTGAGAAATTCTGTCTGAATGACCGTAGTGAAAGAGCACGCTTGTCGATGCTCGCGAGACGCCTTCGCCGTCTTTGTCGAGGAAAGGATTGATGGAATGTTCGATTGAGGAAGAGTCGATGAATGTCCGTGAGGATCGACGATTGCTGGCCGATCGTTAAACGCGGCTCGACAGCGAAGAACTATGCGGTTCACGCGGACGACGAGCTTGAGTATCGAGCGATCTAATTCCATCAAATTCAGAGATTCAGTGGATCCACTGAGTGATTTATGAACGGCGTTAAAACTTCTTCTGTAACATGCGCACATTATTTGATTTTGCTTATTAAGATAGAAGAGGTCCCAGACTGAAATCCAGCAATTAGTAAAACCGGAATCTTTACCGTTTACTTAGCTATGCACTCTGGTTTTCCTCGATCGAGGCTCAACAATTTCTCTGTGCACCGGGATTACTCCTTCTAATTAGCCTAATTCCGAGCGAGAACAATTTCGAAATTACTCGCTTCTCACACTCGCGCAAATTCATCTAAAAGCAAGTGCTGTTTTTCCTTCAAGGAACTACTATCGAAGCAAAGAGCTACTGATCGCAAGAACGCGTCTTCACTCGAGGCGTTCTCTTCCGGGAGTCGAATCGATTTCAAATGAGTCCAACCCGTCGATTGATCGAACAGAAAACCGTCTGACGCAACATTGAGATTCGTAGGTCGCGTAGGTGCTTCCGTATTGAGGTACATCGAGAAGATACACGGATCTCCGTTTGATCCTCTCTGAAAGGGGACCGATCGTAGACTCCGGTAGTATCCGCGGGGACGCAGATGGGAGCTTGTTTGATTGAAGTCCCATCAACCCCGTGCGACAACAATCTAACGTGTTCCCAGCGATCGACTTCACGGTTGCCGTCGCTCACCGACGTCGCCATCGACCACGAGGGCCTCTTCTTCTCCCACCCGATTCGGCCACAAAAATCCGATCAAGCTGGAATTGATGGAGTTGGAGAACATTGTTGCGAACACCGTGTACCTGAAAGCGAGAGAAGGTGAGTCTCGTTTTATTTGTGTTGTCATTTATTGCTGTTTGATTTTAGATTTTATGTTTATATTTTATCATATATAATAATAATAATAATAATATGGCTCAATAAATTTAAAAAACGCAATAAAGAAAAAGGGCTACGAACCAAAAATCAATCGTTATAATTTAAAAGTGGAAAATAAACAATTATATCATTACGTTAAAAATATTATAAACTTTAATAGAAAAACAAACGTTTCGATCGCGATCGGATCATTATCAATGTTTATATAAATTAGTCAGTATGGTAAAACAAATATAATGAAAAATTACATGAAGGATCGAATAGAGAGAGAGAGAATAAAGAAAAATTATATACAAATTATAAAAATACTTCGCTCTCTCTAATTGTTTGAAATGTGGACATAATCGACGCATGATTATTAAAAGCTAATATCGATATTTGTGTCGATATATTTTAAGCTGGTATCGGTATTTGTATCGGTGTTTTTAACATAATAATATAATCGTTTATTTTCCACTTTTAAATTATAACGATTGATTTTTGGCTCGTAGCCCTTTTTCTCTTTATTGCGTTTTTTATATTTTATATATATATGTTTTATAATTTTATGTTTTATATATGTATATTTATTCGTGGGAATTATCGATCACTCTCATATAGGTACAGCATACGGAGCAGTTAAAGACTAGCATGTAGAATAATTAAGCGTAAAATAATTACACGAGTGAGTAATTATAAGTTAAATTCATTATAACATAAAAATCTGTTTTTTATTGGAACATTGGTTAAAATAATATATTAATGAATGATTTTTTATGATATCATAAATAATGCTCTATGTTTCATTGTTTCCATTATTTTAAGAGCGGCGAGGTAATTAGGAAACTGAGAAAATTCACGCGGTAATGACAAAAATTGTTCCATGACGGGTAATAATTGCGCTTTGGTTATAACACGTGTCAAGAACAGTTATTGAGTTCGGTCGATTAGCGCGCGCGCTGAATGTACAATTCTGGCATTGTGTATCTACATATAATAGCCTTCCCGGAACACCCTATGGCCTATACAGAGTTTTCATTACCGAGAGTTCGGCTGGGCGACATTTATTACGTGCGTAAAGTCGCTCCGTAGTTTTAACTGCGAGATTGAACGTTCGGATTTAACGCGCAATATGCAGTCATTACTTTCGCGTTTAACGCGTTTCGAATTGCTGTCATGAAGAAAATCAAGACCATTAGGCGTATCTTTGCAACACGTGCGATTCGGGATAAATATTTCCGCAATCCCGTGATTACGTTCTCGATTCAGACTGCCATTTACTGAAAAATAAAAAAATTTTCTTCTTTAGAATTTTTCTTATTTACGGAAATTACGTCAATTAAACAGCTTTAGATTGCGGAAGATTAATAAGACAACGTGAGATTTGCGCATTTAATACTTTAATGCGTTGCACGCAATTTAAGTTATTTTTATCGATAAGAAAATTTTGTCGTTTATTTATAATTAACTATATAAAAGACAGTAATTTTGCAGTCGTATTATACATACATTTAGATACGTGCTGGATCGAGCAGTACTTATCCAGCGAACGTTTTATAATGGCTTGTTGTAGGTGTCCGTGTTTTAATGCGTGCATAAAACGATCGTGATGCTCGCACCGACAGCTTAAGCGCCGTAACGCGAGCGATAGATCGAAGCAAAAAATCTTTACGGCGAGAGGATCGTCTTTTTCTCTCTGCTCGATCAGACGTGTGTTTTAGCACACCTATCGTCATAGGCGTAAAACGCGAAATAAACAGCTGTCCTTATTTCTCTTTTATCTTCAATGCCTTTCACAATGTAGCAAGATATTTTGTTATCCATTTTGCTCTTTTATTATCTACAGGCGGAAAGATCAATGACAAGCAAAGAAAAAATATTTAAAAATTATAACAATAAATTGGAAATAAGTAGATCTCTCTCTCTCTCTCTCTCTCTCTCTCTCTCTCTCTCTGTGTGGAAAAACGTCTTGATTTAGCGCTAATCAGCTTTCTTACTTTAATTTAATTATTTAATGTTTAAACATCTATTATATAATCTGCAGTCTCGTATAAAACTCTCTGATACAAGCGGTTAGTTCTTCTCGCAATTAGCAGTGTTTTGCAGTTTCGTGAGAAACTCAAACCAAGGAAAATAACGTCTCCCGTATTCCTCAGACACGTATGCCAAAAAATAGGGACTTGTGAGATTTTTGCAGGGACAAATGCTTGATTCAATTTCTGTTTTTCCGTCCTGCTCGTCGTATATTTTTAGCCTCGTTACAGGGTACAATGAACTTTTGCTGACAGGAAAACGTGACGCTTTACTTCTCGTTATGCTTTGTAACGCGTCCCCCACGAGATATGTCATATAGGAATATGACAGATATTTCAGAATTTTTCATGTTTTCTTTTCCCATGGGAATTTATAGTCAATTTTTGCAAATAAAACTTTAATATGAAGTTCTTGATTAGAAATTTCTATTTGTCGCAAGAAAAAAAAATATTTCGAAAATTCAATTTTGAAATTTTTTAATGTCTCTAATGATTGATTACACTAATTTACAATTTTTTTTTCAATTACTTTGGACCAAACTACGTGTCTCTCTTATAGATTTTTGGATGCTGAAAACGATGCAAGCGAAAAAATTCTAGCACGTTAGATTTTCAAGATAATTGAGGTTTAATATATAAATAATAGTTTTTTTTAGCGATATTTGACATTTTTTTATAAAGAAGGTTATCTTGAAATTCAGAAGTCATGAATGTATTGTTTATCCCCTCTAAAATGCATTTTTTTTTTATTTCAATATCTTATTTTTTAGCCATGTTATGAAAGATTAAATATAGGAGTTATTTCGAATATGTGAAGTCCTGTGCTGAAGTGATACCTCCATGTAGTACAGGATATTGCTAAAATCACTTCAAAATAACAACGACGCGCACAGAGACAGAGAGAGAGAGAGAGAGAGAGAGAGAGAGAGAGAGAGAGAGAAAGAGAGTTGTTTTATAAAAAAGATATGTAGTTGCATATTATAAATTGCATTTTTTTTTTAAAAGCAACTATGTATTTTCATTACATGAGTGGATTAGTCTCATAATTCTGTGCATAAAAGTGTTAAGGTTATCAAAGTGTTATCAAAATTACCTTAAAAAATTAATCCGCATACGACGCTGCCGGAGTCCCCATATTCAAAATAGCTCTTATCTTTAATCTTTTGTAACATGGCTAAAAAGTAAGGTATTGAAGTAAAACAAATGCATTTTAGAGGGGACATACATTCATGACTTCTGATCGAAATTTTAAGATAACCTTCTTTATTAAAAAAATGTCAAATAAAACCAAAAAAATCATTTTTTACATATTAAATTATCTTGGAAATCTGACATGTTAGAATTTTTCGCTTGCGGCATCCAAAAATCTATATAAGAGACACGTATTCCGGTCCAAAGTAATTTTTCGCTGTAAACTAGTGTTATTCTTTCTGTATGTATATTTTTTCTAAATTCGAAATTTAAGAGAATTTGCAACAAAAAAAATATCAAGCTATCTTTTTCGAGATCAAAGATAAAATGCCGACTATTCAAACTTAAAAAACAAAATCTAGGAAGCTTTACTATGAATTAAATCTCAAAGATACGAATAAATACACTAGTTTTTTATCTATAAGTAAACTTTAATTGTGATTGAAAGCCTGAAATTTCCCCAAGAGAATCGTCGAATAAAATTTGCATAGAGATCACGAGGTTACATTAGCTCGAGACGCTCGAGACTAAGCTTTGTCGATCACTGCAGTTGCAATTGATCGGTTGCAAGTAGTAAATCCAATGGGGAGGGTCACCCACCATTGGCCGGCATTCAATTAGTACATTACGAACGACGTCCTGTCGAAGAGTGCAGGCGTGTTGATGGTCGGAAAGTAGGTAAATGGATTCGCGTGATAGCGAACCACGTCAATCGCCTTGTATAATCGCATTGCCTTGATAAACATTATAAATGAAAGCCTTGCACGATAGATCCGACCGCCGCGAATTACGTAAATATACAGGATACCCAACTATTGAGTTACAGGGATAACGGGTTAATTAGCGGTCTTCTGTACTGCCTGTAACACAGCGACGATGTAATTAGCGACCGTTCGATCAGGAAATGACTATAATCAATTTGTTGCGCCGACGAAAAACTTTTCCATTTATGAAATCCCAATTTATCACGAACAATTATTTTCTATCGCTGTAATGTTTGCGTAATGTTTGGACGAGAGGAGACAAAAGGTGCGTCAATAATTCTAGGTTATCTCTAAATTAGCTCTGAACATGACTAATTTCACGTACGCAATTAGTATTAAGCTCAATAGTTTTCAATCAGTTAGAGTTCCAACTCTCTTTTGAAAAATTTCCAACATTAACATCTAAGTCACATTAAAAAAAAATATTAACGCATTTTTTTTAACATCGCGAATCTGAATTATATTTTTTCGATGAATGCTGATACGTCTTTTTTTTTATAAATAACTATTTTACACAATAGATTTTTTGGTAACAAAAAAATCTAACGTTTCGCGGAAGCGAAAAGATTTTAAATTTTATTTAAGGAATTGAATAGTTTTAAGGTTTATAATTTCTCCATGCAATTCTTTTAGAAATTTCTGAAGTTTTTAAAAGTTCTTCCAATCTCTTGATTTTTAAACATTAATTTTAAAAATATTTTAGAAATCTTCTGAATTTATGCAAAGATGCGGTTAATAGAATGATAGATGATAAATGTATTTACTATAAAATAGAATGCTAGATGTATTTATAAAATTCATAAAAATGTATTTATGCAATGACGTCAAATGAAATAACGATGCCGAGATGATGTATTATGCGATTGTCTTCGTAAAAGCCAAAGATGCGTTTCACGGAATCGACGTATGTGTTCGTATAATCGAAAGTCACGTTTCGTCGTGCTGCGGGAACTTCAATTATCATAATGATAGCAATAAGGATTTGTGCGCAATGCAATTATCGTGAATGAAGCTACAGAGTTATGTCCAACGTACACGCTGATATAATTACGTGATGACGATGGGGCGTGAGAAAATTCCATGATCGCGAGAATGCGGTCGAGACGCGAATTGTCGCGAATAAATTTCCACACTCGGGACAACAATAATTATTTTAAATGCTACGCTTAACGATATAAATCGCATACATGTTTATGTGTTTGTATGAAAGTTGATACACGAAAAAAGCAATTTTGTTGAAGAATCTAAAAATTTATCTAGATACAGATCTGAAAGTAATGTTGGAACATCAAAATAATTTTGTAGGAATCTTAAGCATGGTGAGCAATGTTGTAAAATGTTTTGATATTCTAGCAACCAATTTTGTCGTCCTATCTAATTATTTTGATGGTCCAGCAAAATTATTTTCAGATTTGTATCTAGCTAAATTTTCAGATTCTTCAGTAAAATTGTTCTTTCCGTGTACAATTTAAAGAGAGCGCGAGTGGATCTTTATCTTCCACTATTAAATATATACAAACAACACCGCTTTGTTCATGTCTGTCAGTTAACATAAAAAATGCGAGAAACTTATTCATACTAGAGTTGAAATTCCCGGAATAAATCAATTTACGAGGTTCGATTTAAGTACGTCACTCTTGCGAATTATTTTATTTCGACTTTCGATTCCGGGCTCTGAATTCTTCTACTCTTCATTTTCGTATGATTTCGTCGAATACCTTTTTTTCGTTCTTTTCTTTTTTTTCCATCACTTTCCAGGATTGGACGAGATGCGCGCGAGTGCTCGATCGTTGTGTATTTCGTTTTATCTCTCCCCTTCACGCGATTCACTGAGCCGAATGTGGTTTTTCATTTCGCGGCATTGCCGACACGACTGCACACCGATTGAACAGGACCGCCAACAGCTGCACAGAGTAATCCGCTACAAGCAAAACAATTAAAATTTGTCCACGTGAAGAAATTTGGATAACTTAGTTCAGAAAATTATTCAATAAACAACAGGTCTTATATTTCTAATCCTTCGAAACTTTTATCATCGCTAATGATTATTTAAAATTAATTTGATGTGTAATTTGATTAATACAAAACCATTTAAATTCTTTGAAATGGAATCTCACTCTAAAAAGTGAAAATTGAATCAGTCTTGAAAAAGAGTGGCTCAATTTTTAAGTGTGAGATTTCACTCTTCAGAGTGTTAGTTCTAAAAGTTTTAGAGAGAAGGCAAAAAGTAAAAAAAATTTTGAAGCGAAATGTTCGAGTCATAAACCGTACATCTTTGTACGTTCGAAGTACTCCTTTCACTTTTAACAACTGATCGTGAGATACGATAGGCTTGTTCTACATATAGATAGGATGCAGCATGCGTTAGACAGGTCCTCGTCCCGCGCGATGCAATTCGCATGCATCACAACACCCGCGCGCGCGTGCTTCCTCCCCCATTTTTCTCCTTTTTCCTCCGCCGATGTGGAAGAGAAGGTGGAGCCTATGCGACCCTCGACTTCCGCTCGTTGGGGATCGAACAAGCGGGCCCGTGCACGCGTCGACGAGATACAGGGTGCCCCGAAGTGATCGTAAGCGAGAATTGTATTTCAATCTCTCGAATCCGAATTATTTCAAGTTTAACGAAAATTTTCATTATTTAAATATCTTCTTCAATATTAAATAACCTCTCTCTCTACTTAATTTTCATCAATGTTTACTCGATTCGCGTCAGTGAAAAAAAGTGCGATAATATTCTTGAGGCTTCCTATATGGGCATTTTCTATACAGAAATTATGCATTTTGCGGGTTATCTCCGTGTCCAAATATATTCTTAGAATGCCAACGTTTCGTGAACATTGTAGTTCACTTAATCAGGACGACGAGCCTGATACTGAGTGCGATTTTATTCTGGATTAATTTACACCATTGATATTTCTCACGGATTATTCATGACAATGAAAGTAAACTGCACAGATTCACTACATAGAATTTATGTTATTCGAGCTATTCTCATTGTTTGAATTTTCTGAAGCTCGTTTGACATCTCCATTCATTATTCGTCAAAGTTTCTGATGCATCGCTCTAAACGGACAAATATAGAAAGTTCTTATCTTGATATATGATTCTCTATCTCTAACACTGTTTTCCATTTGATGACACAAATCGACACAAGCATCGTTCTATCCTTCTTGACATTCAGAGAGTGACAAAGATAGAACGACACTTCTGTCGACCGTGTCTCCTAAAAGGAAAGCAGTCTATCGACTTTCCGTCAGATAATCTATTATCTCGGTGCAGTGGGGATATCAACTTTCTTGAATAATCTGTACGACGAGCTTGTTCACGGAAACGAAAAACTGGGATCGCGGGCCATGCGTCTCGCACATCTCCTACCGCTTTCCCTGTCTCTTGCGTTTTTTGCACAATCTATACCGCGAAGATTTTTCTCGATGAAAGCTGAGGAGTCTCTTTGTCATAACCAGAATCCATTTAACGCAAATTAATGTACAGAGTATTAAAGAATTCTCTTTCATTTATCCTTTTTATCCGGGAATTGTTCTTTTATTAATTCAAAATTGATTATTCAGTTTTAAATATTTTTTCAATTAATCTTTGAGTTTATTCTCTGACGAAACAAGATTCATTTGAAATCATATTCATATAAACTTTTGCGTTCTTTATTCTTATTGTGGAAATGTAATTCATGATAGATTTTTCATCATTTATTCAATAGGTAACACTATGTTAATATTTAAATATTTCTTTATTAGGAATAAATTAACTCTACGTTGATGAAAGAATTCGTGGAAATGAGAAAGTGGCTGAAGGATCTTGAATAATCTGCAAAACGCGGATTATTCTCGCAATTTATCGGCAATAAACTTTTTAAACTGTTTTTTTCTTACCTCTACATTATTAAATAAAAGGATTATTCGATAGAAAGTCTCATAATAACGACTAATACACCATAAATCATTATTGTTGTCTATATTAACACGCGTCATCGCGTAGAATGTGCATTGTAACGCAACGCGCGTTTTTACAACGTTATCTAATGTTATGACGTTCGCTTCAAAGATATTAATAAATTTCTGTCGACGTACACGATAACTTTTCTCTGTCAGGATTTATTTACTATCGCGAGCAACATCTTGCATATGAAATAATTCACGAGTTTTCAGGTTTTGCGATTGAACGAGGTTAAATCATGTCAAAAGCTTAGTTTATCGAAAACCGCGATTTTCGATGAACATTGATTAATTTTGATGTCATAATAATATTACAAGTTTAACCCTTAGTACATAAAATCATTTTTTCGATCCTTCACTACACACACGATAGATAGGTCGTCTCGAGTTAATTTTCATAATTTTTATAAGTATATAGAGTGTGTCCTAAATATGCTAAAAAAGATTTTAAAGGATGTGATTCCTCACACAAATTCAATATGAAAACTTAATTGATATGACTATATGAACATCTGAAACGTCTTAGTTTCAAAGATACATGTGGTCTGTTTTTTTGTTCCTGCACTAAATTGTACTAGAACTCTCTTTCGCATAGGGGCAAGTTGGTCAAATGCAAATATTAGATTCACTACATAGAATTTATGTTATTCGAGCTATAAAAAAGTCGATCTTGATGAAAATTGATTTTGTTTATTTCAATCAGATTTTTCGAGTAGAAACAAAAACTTGAATTTTTTTCATATTTTTTTCCTAATAGAGAATTTTAAGACGAACAATTTGATGTAGTTATTGTTTTTTTCAATAATTTAAACAGAAGTTATGTTCAACTAAACATTTGCGAAATAAAATAAATTGAAAATATTAAAAAATTCATATCTAGGAAACTAACGAAGATAAAAATCTAAAAAAATAATGGAATACGTATTTTTAAATCTGAAGAATATATTAAAAAATCATTAAAAAAATCGACAGGGTGACGAAGGCTGTCCGATTTGGCGTGGAAGCCTCACATATATTTGCGCTTTATTATATTGTTGAAAATCGCAAATTATTCCTGAAATTTTGACTTGCCGCGTTTTTATATGATGAAGAAGAAAGCAGACGTTTTCTGAAGGACGGAAAGAAAAGCATAGGAATTGAATATAGTAATATTGTGTATATTTTCGATGATAAATTACGAATAGCAAGGGGAGAAATAACTTTCTTCTCGTTTAGTTTCTTTCGCGACAGATCTCTCGAGGCGTCGTTTCGAATTCTACGAAGTGCTGGGATAAATCTTGTAACGTTGATCCAATATTTGCTGTTATCCCCGTTTGAGTGAATTCCGTAACTTCCGGCAGTTTTCAATCCAGTATTTCGCACTGTCCATTCGTCTTTGCTAAGATGTTTATGACTTATCTGCTTCAAAATCTAATAGACGTAACATCTTTAAAGATAAAGTCTTTCACAAATACTTGTTATATTTTTCAAAATTATTTCAGCGAGTGTAACTTATTAATTGAATTATTCATGGAATATTTTATTTTAACTTTAAAATTATAGCGATTTTTATACACGATTTTTTATATGCGATTTTATGTTTTTGATATTTTGTGACATATAATATTTATTTAAGAATTTTAACAATTTTTAAATGAAATAGTTACCTGTTAAATACAAGTTTGTGATTCTTTTTCTAAATGTATGATTTTAACATGTCACTTTATCGTCGAACAGAAGTTACACTGACATTGAATAAAACAAATTTTATCGCATTTTTAATCTATCTTTTGACGCACAGTCGCACACGCAGAATTACTGCACAAATTCATTGGAGTTCTAAAATGCAATAAGTCTTTTTTTATTGTTTACATATTTCACTTGATATATTTTGACGTTTTTCGTAATGTATGAAAATTTTCATATTTTTTGGATAGGTGGTGGTGACAGCAATAAAGGAAAGAGTAAGAAATGGCGGAAGATACTTCAGTTCCCACACATTTCCCAGTGCATCGGCCTAAAAGATAAACTGGGTGAGTCAGTAATAATTGAAGTCACAAAAATTTTGAAATAAAAAAAGAGACTATAATAAATAAAAAACTATTTTACCTAAATAATATTTTGCGGTCGCTATTTTCTTGGCAATGTAAATGTTATGTATAAAATAGCAACAGTAAAAAAACTGCTTAATAGATCTGTGCAATTATTGAATCTCGAGCCTGCACCATGTAGTGCGCTTTATGCAGTTGAAAAAATGCTGCAAGGGGCGGAGAAACAATGTTCGTTGCGTGTCCCGTTAACCTACTCTGATAACACTCTCCCCCGATTTGAAATAATGAAAACTTGCGAATAAATGAGACTCTTATTCTCGCGAATATGAGCTATATAAAATACGTAAGAAATTATTGTTCCTACTATTAGAAGCCGTTATTCTAAACTGCAATAATATTAAGAAGATTTTGGTGAATTTATTGTTCTACTACTGAATTTATTTACATAATTATAAATTCGAAAGGGGATTATAAAATCGCTAATTATTTAAATAAGGTTTTTATTAATAGTTTAGACTTATTTTATTTTGTAATGTATAAAGTTAATGTAACTTTTAATTGATATTGTGAGAATTAAAACGTATAGAATTAATTTTCAAAAGAATATAAATTATTTAAAATTATCTTTAGTCGATTAAATGTAGTAATCTATCCAAGGATACTTCCGTTTATTTTTCCAACAGTAAGAAAAAGTAGAAAGAAATCTTTTCAAGGAACACACAAGCAAGTAGCACTCTACGATTTTCTTTTGACAGGATCAATTAATTAGATTTTACGGGTATAAATTAAATTTATATAAAAAAAATTATATTTGCGCGCGTAACGTATAGTAATTCATGATGTCGGGCAGACATCAGGTACAGTTATGTGGTGGACCAGCAGCCGATTGGGCGGCAGCCAGCCTATCATCGCTACAACCTCTTTCTGGACGCGATCGAGAAGTACGAGATTGAACTGGATGAGAATCGCATCGATCTAGCGAAAGAGTTGTTCGAGCAGTACTTGAAGCGGGAAGGTTCGGAGGTAGTCGATATCCTGAACGATTCCTTGATCTCTCAGTGCGAGGAACGACTCAGCACCGGCGGCAAGGAGCTCTTCACCGAGGTTGCGCAGACCGTGAAAAACTTCCTAGCTGGCGAGCCGTTCTCGGCCTTCCTCAGCAGTTTCTATTTCTACAGGTGAAGTGCCAATGAATAAATTGTGTGGCAAATAGATAATATAAATTCGTAGAAAAGAATTTCTTTCGATGAGAATCTGATTCTGACTACGTGAGAAAGAATTGAGAAATAGAGAGACGTTTTTTTTTACGATTCTTTAGGTATCTCCAATGGAAATGGCTGGAGGCGCAACCAGTGACATACAAGACCTTCCGGATGTATCGGGTATTGGGCAAGGGTGGCTTCGGGGAGGTCTGCGCTTGCCAGGTACGCGCCACCGGTAAGATGTACGCGTGCAAGAAATTGGAGAAGAAGCGCATCAAGAAGAGGAAAGGCGAGTCGATGGTACTAATCGAGAAGAACATCCTGCAAAAGATCAATTCCAAGTTTGTCGTCTCGCTCGCATATGCATACGAGACGAAGGATGCTCTCTGCCTCGTGCTGACTATCATGAATGGCGGCGATCTCAAGTTCCATATTTACAATATGGGCGGTGAGCCAGGTTTTGATATAAATCGTGCCCGATTCTATGCGGCCGAGGTCGTATGTGGTCTGGAACATCTTCATCTTCAAGGTATCGTCTATAGGGATTGCAAGCCGGAGAACATACTGTTGGACGATCATGGTCATGTGAGAATATCCGATCTCGGTCTCGCGGTGGAAATTACGGAGGGCGACATGGTGCGTGGTAGGGTCGGCACGGTGGGTTACATGGCACCTGAGGTGATCGACAATGAGAAATACACCTTCTCGCCAGACTGGTTCAGCTTTGGCTGCCTACTATACGAAATGATCGAGGGTCAAGCGCCGTTCCGCGCTCGCAAGGAGAAAACCAAACGCGAGGAAATCGACAGACGCGTCAAGGAGGATCAAGAAAGGTATTCGCCCAAGTTTAGTGAGGATGCCAAAAGTCTGTGCCAGCAGCTGTTAAAGAAGAGCCCGAAGAACAGGCTGGGTTGCAAGTGTGGTCGACACGGGGCGAAAGAGGTGAAGCTCCATAGCTTCTTCCAGTGCCTGAACTGGAAGAGGGTCGAGGCCGGTATGTGGGAACCGCCGTTTGTGCCGGATGTAAGTAGGTGTAGTTTGATGATCGATCGTCTAAATCCACATCGAGGTGTCATGTTTTCATTTTTATCCTCGTTTAATCTATTTGTTCGTCTATTTAAATTCCGTGAATACGAGAGTTTAGATTAATTTTGCATATAAATTGTAGCTGATTTAGTACTGATTTAATATAATTATCGAAATTAGTGTTAGAGTTGTATACAGGGTGTTTGGAAAGTAATGAAAAATCTTTCCCATAGGGGCAGAATGGATTAAACTGAGAAAAAAATAAACAATTTTTGTTTCTTTCGGTTTTTCTATAAAGTTGATTATTTGAGTAAAAAATTATTGAAGGCCAATTTTCGACAATTTTTAGTAATTAATATCTTGTTAACTATTGCGAAAATTGTAAAATGGTAGAGGACTTTACTTCTCACTACACTCTGTATATAACTTTAACACTAATTTCGATAATTATACTAAATCAGTATAATATGTATTTACAATTTTTAATTAGCATATATTGTCATTATAAAATGAAATGGTGTTCTAAGAAATCGCATAAATTACTAAAAATTTTAATGTTATAATATTACTTTTTTGTTTTATTATATTTTTGCGCTAATAATAAATTGTCCTTTATATAGAAGATTTAATGTATATGTAAAAACACATTGAAGGTAAGAATATGAAAATTATTAATCGTTGATACGTTTATCATTACAGCCTCGTGCGGTTTACGCTAAAGATGTTTTGGACATCGAGCAGTTCTCCACGGTGAAAGGTGTTAATTTGGATGCCACGGATGATACCTTCTACAGCAAGTTCAACACCGGCAGCGTGTCCATTCCATGGCAAAATGAGGTAAAATAACCGTATACGTCACATCTGTATTATAATCACCGATTGTAAGACATGTTGCGCCTCGGGAAGGTCTTCGACCTTTCCTATAAAAATAATATTGTTGTTACGAGGCACACAGTAGACGATCAGTTAATCAATAAGATCTCCATTATAACATGAATGTAAATCGCATTCTTCGACTACCCACGCGTCTCAAGCGCTTATATTGATATTGATAGTACTTCAAAGGATCCTCCACATCTATATAACCCAAGATTATATAAATTTAAGTAAGAGAGATGATTCAAAATAATTTTAACAATATTTTAATAAATTTAATTTTTTTCTTTATTTTTTTCGGAAAAATTTTGAAAGTAATGGTCTCCGTTAATTGAGATTAAAATTATTGTTTTCCGATTTCGATCGTAAATTCCTGCCAAACGGGTTGCGCACTAAAATAAAAATGAAGCAATATTTAGCTACTAACTTTAATTCTAGTCCATATCTTGTTCTGATTTTATATGGCGAATGTATTGAGAAAATGTCATTTATGTAACATCTTTGTGAGATTAAAAATTATGTTTGCTAAAAATCTCGAAATGAAATTCTGAAAAAGTAAAATTTAATTTGAATTTAAAGCGTAGCAAGGAAATAATAAAATCTCGTTATCTAATTGTACTTCAAAGGATTTCGTTTCGTTTTCTGAAAATATTACATGTGCATGCCGAACATCTGGAGAGCGGCACTTGGATCAAAAAATATAGAACTCGTGCAAAGTGTTTTCCTACGTCAGAGGCAGCGCGAAAAGCTCGTTATCACTGACGTTATTCGGGTAGATGTATTTAAAGCCGCGATGCTGCGTAAGACGCATTACGCACGAGCCACCTTTAGCTTCTGCCTATGTTAAATCACTTACTACGCACCTCGCGGAGTTGAGATTGTCAAATCGCAATCTAACACACTTTATTTCTTCCTCTTGCAGATGATAGAGACTGAGTGTTTTAAGGAACTGAATGTATTAGGTCCTAACAACACGCCCACCCCAGACTTATTGATAAACCATACACCGCCCAACAATGACGACAGAGGCTGTTTTCCTTTTCGGAGAAAGGTAGTATTTTTCGAAGAAAAGCAACAGTAAATCTCAGACACTTAAAAAATATTTAGAGAATCGAGAAAGATTTTGAATACTTTAGAATATTTAAAAAAAATGTTTTAATTTAAAAAATACTTGAAGAAGACACTTAGATATTTTTTACTTTCAACTTGTGAAATATTTCTTATGTGTTATTAAATTAATTTTATAATTATTGTGTAGGAAAATATACAATAATAAAATATCATTATATTGCAATTACAGAGGAAACAAAGCGATCGCACGAGGGAGATCCCGTTGTCGGAATGCCACTTGCTGGAATTGTCGCAGACGCAGAGCTCGGAAATGCCAGCCAGCTGATCTATGGTGAACAAGAATAACAGTCTGAATCGATTAATGTCGTCACCATTTCGACGTTGTCGCCATCCTGACGTTACTGACGGCGCGCGTTCGAGTGCCACTGGTGGCTGCTGCGTTAAGAGCAAGCCGATCTCATTCTCTCTCTCCGTAACACCCGAAGCCACGGCAACTGTCCCTGAAAATGGCTGCATAGTTCGCATAATAAGAAGTCGCAACGACTGTGGATCCGAAGCGTCCTCTCAGGTTTATTGGGGTGAGATCAAAGATCTACTCCAGGATAAAACATGTATCCGCGCAATTTTACGCGCGCGCTTACAGCTACGCATATGCGGCAAACAAACGCGACACACGGAAGCCAGACGCATTGTATGTTTCTGTCAAATTCGAATGACACGTTCGTTACCAAATATATTTTCCTCGAGCTCGAACGCGGGAATGCTCGACGTGCACTTTTGCACGTCCATCAACGTATATCGACGTGTTTTATCGAGCTTCGATGTGTCCAGATTTACGAGTCGTGGGCGAGAGAAAATTTAGGGCGATATATAGATAATGATTGTGTCACTCACAGCGCGATTACGTGGCATACGTAATATTCTGAATGCGGAAATTCGATTTTCAGAATGTATAGTCAGTAGTAACAATAATTCCATTTCTCATTAACTATGAAATGGCGCACAAAATCTTTAATCTTAAGTTTCGGTCTTATTTTAAGTTAAAACGAACGAGTACATGTAGGTGTACGAACGGATGTGCAATTATTTGCAATTATTTCTTCGACGTACTTATGAATCTTTTTTAAATTGATGAATACAAAAATTTAATTTATATTAATTTTCAAAGAGGAAAATTTTCTCTTAGGATAGATGTTTATTTCATATCGTTTTATTCTTAATGATAGAGGAACTCATTGCCATCCCATTGAAAGTATCGGAGAGAATCACTTTGGCGCACGATTAAACGTGAGAAATCGTGAGTATGCTGCAATTTTATTTATTGTTATCCCAAATTGCTCCCAGTGTTTTTAAGTACTTCCCGAAAATTTCAAGACGATCGGCGTTCCTTCGGTCTACCTTTTGGTTGTCAACGACTCCGATGTACTGTTTCTTCGTAAGGTCGTATTTGTCTGAGGCGAATAAGCTATATGCCTAAGAACTTTGGTCGTAACCGCGTTCGCGTTTCGATGATTTATTAACGTGCTCGATAAAGTCTAGAATGGAACTCGCGGGGGCCAAAATAAAGTAGAAACAGCTTGTAGGCGAGCGATAACGAGCGCGCACGTGAAACAGACGGGTCGTAAAAGAGCACGTGAAGAGCACGGCGCTTGTTCTTCCGCCCGCACGTCCGCCTCGCTCGCTCGTTCTCGCGTATCGCGACATTAAGCTACCGGTAAACGGACACCCGACACTACCGCGAGGCAAATAAACACTCGCGCGTTTATAAACGTTAACCCGATATATCTGGAGTTGTAATTACGGAGATGTGTGCAGCACATGATACAACGAGTTGACGGCGCCGAGAAGACGCTACATCTAAGTGCGCGACGAGCGGATTAGTAGTGAAGTATATTGATCTAGCGTTGCTAAATGGAGGCACTAGATAAGTCCTATAAAATGACGAATGATAAACTCACGATAAAATATTCCCGAATAACGCTGTCACCATATGGCAACAAATATTATTAAAAATTAAAAGTAAAAATAATTTTTATCTCAGACGCCCTTAACATGCTGTATCAATTGAGTTCAGTCGCGAATGTGGATTAGTGGATAGTTACCGCATTTTAAAGCTCGGCAAACATCCAGAAAATAAGGAATAAAGGGTAACATATGAGAATCGCATCTGTCGACAAATTGCAGTTTCCGGAAACCGCGTTCGAGCGTTACATATTTTTGAAATGTTGTAATAGTTTCGTGTCAATTTTGATACATTAATTCTATCACGATTATCTTAACACGAAAAATTCCTATCTCACAATAGATTGATCCAATATTTGAACCGATCTGAATATGATTTGATTTTAATAATAAAATCAAAATTTCTGACAAATTATGGATTTATTAGAAAAAAATCTGTCATTAAATAAAATTAAGATTCTTTAGATCTATCCTGCCCGAAGGGGCAGAGTTTTAATATTTTATCATTATAAAATATTTGAAATCTCAGTGATGTTTTATTATCTTTATTGCGTATCGCGTTAAATCCTCGCGCGTGCACTTTAGGAAACGCTGTAAAACGAACAAGAAGCTCTTGCGAATTGGATTAACGGACACATTCGGACAGTTCGCGAACAATTTGGCCATTCTCCAATTGCGAGTCGTGTGCCAACGATTTGAGTTGCTATCTAAATATGAGATAAGAATTCTCTCCTACCAGACAATCATCGCGAGTCAGTCGAATATGTCATCTCCCTTCGATGCATCTCGTAAATCCGGATGTGAACGCCGATGCACTCGGAATTTTTAATCTCATTAAGAATCTCCTGCAAAATTCGACCCTGTCATGTAAAATAATATTAAACAATCGATCGACGTTAGATAAAAATAATGAATAAGAAAATTTATTTTTACTTTAACAATCTTTGCGATAACGAATTTCCATTATTTATGAAGAGATTTATAGAGATTAACTCGATGACTGCTGTATCAAATGAACACATTGTACGCAGTTAGTCTTGAAAGTTTGTTATCAGTATAACTTCTCGTCGAGGAAGTACAAAGATAAATAGAAATTATTCAATTAAAGTAAGTGTTTGAGGAAAATCTCGTACATTTATAAGCGACATTAGAAAGCATACAAATGATTTCTCATTTTCATATGTTTTTTTTTGTTGATACGGAACCAGTATAGAAAGAGATGCACAAACGATAGCGGAAACAGGTTCACATGCGCATACAGTTTTATGTGAAATATGAGTGAAGTAGAATTAATGAAATATACTCGAGATTTTTAAGATTGAATTCTTCGAATCAATAAGCAGAAACTTAGATTAATTTTTGTGGATTGAATGAAAGATTCTATATTTATTACCGTAATTATTATACTAAATTAATGAATCGAATATAAATTGTAGTATTTAATTGTTACTATTAATTACGATAATATTGTTATAGCATTTTATGAGACGCATAAATTATGCCTAACAATCGCCATGTGAACAATACTCCGAACAAATTTCTCTTCATAACTCTGTATAGCTCTGCAAATCACGTTTTATTATAATTATGATAAATTTAGCAAGATTTAATTTACAGGAATAGTTGAAGAATGGAGGTCAAATGAGTGTCAGAAAAGTTAATTTCTAAACATGTATGTATATTTTATATACATATATATATTAAATTTTTTACTTATATTAAAGTTTTACAAGTATTAAATAAAAAATATTAAATATTAACATATCATATTTTAAGAAAATATTAAGAAAAACAATGTTATTTCAGTTTCTGTACAGAGAATTTAACACACAAGTTTAATAAGTAATACTTCCGCAAATTGTGAGATTTTAAATCTCTTTCCTTTTTAATTCAAAATATTGTTTCTGACACTTGGCTGACATTTTCTCATTTCTTAACATCCGCGTAATAATGTATAGGAAGATATGTGTTTATCGGAATGATGATTGACTGAATGATGTAAGTTAACCGGTAATTAAACTTTTCTGACGTCTATGCAAATCATCGGTATGTACATGCATCGTATGCACATAATTTATGTGAGAAACATTACATCTATTTACAACTGTTCGAGATTGGTGTTGCGGTAAAGTATATAAAAAAGGGGATAGTATGACTCAACGGTCTAGATCACTTTTTGTCGGATAAACCCCAAAATAGTTACTATGTCGCACAAATCGCAATTCTCCCGACGCGAATGCGAAAGTATTATATTCGCCAAACAAGAAAAAAGCAAAAAATCCTTATTTTTGTTTAAAAAAAAAAGGAATGTGTAAAGTAATCTTGGAGATCAATATATTTAATAATTTACGCGATCTACGTGTACAATAAATCGTAAATTATTCAATTCAATTATTACTTATTTTCACGAAAATGGATTCCTGCCAATTTGTTCTAATTTATTTATCTTCGCGCGAAGATACTTGAACGACACTAGATTGCTAATAAAATTAGCGAGGAACGTACAATTTACAATTTTTTAACGTATTATTGATTTGTAGTCTTCATTTTCTTTGCTGGCAACGCACGAGTTCGCTATTCAGTATAGAGAATCTGTCATATCTTTTAACTGTGATTTCTCAAAGTGTCCTGTTTAATTTTGTTGTTAGTATACCGAATATTTCAGAAATATTTTTAAGGTTTCTTATTTCTAATTACTTCTTATCATTTTACATTATTTCTCTTATCATAAGACATACCTATCATTTCACAATATTTATATAAAGGCGTGGATAAGGGAGAAATCTGGCTCTAATGAGATCCATCGCGAGATCTACTTGTAGATAATGATGTCCAACCAGTCCAACTACTATATATTCGCAAAAAGAATACCAAACTATTTAATAATTTTTCTAAGGAGAAATAAGCGCGTAATACTCTCTTATTCTCATAGAAAATACATATATTTTTCTGTCTGTGTACGTAGCGTAGATAGATAGTATACATACATATACGATAGACTGCTGAATATACTTTTGCAAATAGTGTCTGTTTCTCTTGTACAATTCGTATTTAAATTATGGATTTGTGTAAGCATTTCATTTATACGATTACTTATCTAAATCATAGAGATTCACGCACGTAAGTATATGTGTGGGATAAGAATCGGAGGATAAATGTGTATGAAACATAGTTATTTAATCTGATCCAAAAATTCGAAACATATATGAATCATAAAAGATACCTCTGATATCGATATTATTCATATATAATATTTTCTGTGATTATATATAAAATCTCATCGAAACCGTACTTCGGATCACATTAAATAACTCCCGTTTCTAATTATTACATAATCATTCAAATACGAATTCTCTCATTGATCCAATT